AGGGATTTGTAGCACAACGTACCCACTCGTGATCTGGTGCAGATACGTGACCACACGAGTACGAATCTCAGCAGCTCAGCTTAGACGAATGTTATAGCAGCAGCGAAAAACTTTCAGTCATCGGAATTAAAAGTGGTTGAAATGGTAGCACAAAAGTTGTCGATTGGCAAGATGCCATCAATAATAACCTACTGTATGAGAGAATAAACTAGAGTCACGTCGAAGAGGGAATGAAAAAAAAATTTGGAAGTCGATAGGAAATAGAATACAAAGATCACCAAACTGCATCACGAAGCAAGCATTAACATGAAATCCCAAAGTTAAACAGAGATGAGGAATTGCACACTGAGTCGAGAGCTGGAAGCAGACATGAAAAGGATGAATAGCAAGTGGAAAGAACTAAAAACGATTGTCGATGATATAGTTGGATAGAGAATGCCGGTGGATGACCTATGGTCGTCCACGAAGAGTAACAGGTGTGAATAAGGAAATAAGAACTATTGGATCGGTGGGCGATTTTCTCTTTGATCCTGATGCTAATGTTGTAGTGGCATCGGGCTTTAACAGGAGACAGTATGGGAAAGAAATATTAACTATTTAACGCGGAGAAAAACCCAACGATGAGAAAAGTGGGAACGATAAGTTGAATAAATTGGAGTTGATCGAATGGCATGGCCCGGCCATACGGGCGCGGTCCCTAATGAATTTTACCTTATATCTTTTATTCATATTATATATATTGTTCCATCTCTAGCCCAAGCTTATTATCCATCATCTTGGCAATTGTTACGATGCAATGAGTTGGTGTAGACGATGATGTGGCTTTCACGTAAAATCTTATATGTTGGGCAGTTATATCATAATAAATTTACAATTTCAGGATTAGGTCTTTTATTAGGGCAGTGCTAATATCATGGTAGACCATAATTCCACAACGTCACATTTGAATCACATTTGATTCAAGATATATGAAGACATTTGTAAAGTTAATTTCTCTTAACATGATGATTCTTCAAAGGTTAGAAGTCTACTACGAAAATCTGAAGCAGCTGAACATGAGAAGTATTCGAATCTTATCTTACCAAAAATATGACAATTTTCCTTTTGATTCTATCTTATAAAATATGTACATAAACTTTTACTACTCACGCTTCTTTATTCCATTATCAATATAACTGTTAAGGGACATCAAGATGACTTTTTCATATGCAGCATTTGTTAATAAGCAATGCAAGAATTTTACGTTGTGTTTACTTTCAGTCGAGCAATCTGAGTGTCTTATTTTGTATGTGGGCTGCAATAAACGTCATACTCAGATGTCCGTTCTAAAATTTTGAAAAGAATTGAGCCAGATCCCAATATTACGTTGAATGATATTACAAATGGATTTTGTAATAATGATCCTAAAATTGAGACTAAAACGATTAGCTGTTCAAACTTTATTCCCAAGTCATTTGATCCAACGTAAACTTCTCATTCTGATCGTATTATCAATGTCTCAACGCATGATTCGCGAAAGTATCCTCGCTAAATTGACTGTCTAATGTTGATAGCCCTAATCCACGTCGCTATACAAGGCCTTACTCTAGTTGCTGGAACTGTGGGCATCTCATTTCTCCCGTTTCTGCCTATTCAATAACCACAATTGGGCAAAGTTCAGATTAAGTAGTCAAAAGGAAGGGTTACTTTAAAGAATGAATCGGGCATCCTTATTAAAATTTCAGGAATTATCAAATGTATTTTTGAGTTTAATGATATGATAATTATAACCAAATGTTATGTTACTGATGAACCCTTCAATCTATTGGGTATTATTTCGACCATAGAATTAGAAATGTTTAACCAGTCATTCAATCTTATTTATACTCAAGTATCATATTCAGCTCAAATGTTTTAAAAACTGAAACAGAAGTTTTCAAAGATTTTTGAAATTGATCTTGGTTGATGTAAGTAGACAAAAGCTGGAATATATTTGAAAGCGAATTCAATGCCTATTTTTCGGCCAAAACGCCTAGTGCCTGATGCTGCACAACCTATAATAATTAAGAAACTAAATAGATTGTAAGTGTCGAGTGTTCACAAAGCAGTTAAGTATTCGTCATGGGCAGCATCAATTGTGGTAGTAAAAATTAGAGTCGTTCAATCAAAATATGTGTTAACTTTTTGACTGGATGAAGAGCATCCCTGAAAACATACCAGTATCCACTTCCCACGCCAAATGATGATTTTGCACAAATGAAAAATGTATGATGTTTTGCAAAAATTGAACCCGCTAATGCATATCTGCAGGCAAAAGTCGATGAAGCAAATAGAGGATTGATAAGCGTTAGTACACACCAAAGTAACCATAAATATATTCGCCTCCCGTTTGTATTCGAGTCAGCTCCAGTCACATTCCAGAAAATTATGGATGCAACGTTTCAGGATGTTCCGAGTACCTTGGTTTACATGAATGATACCATTGTTCTTAGCACAACCACACAAGAATTATTTGAATGTTTGGATATCATTTTCATGCGTATTGGAGATTATTGTTTCCAACTAAAATAGAAGCGTGACTTCTTCATGACGGTAATAAAGCACCTTGAACTTATTGTCGATCGCTACGAACGATGACCTGATGAGTCATAAAGCAAATGCCACCACCATCTATCCTAAACCCCTTGCGATCATTCCTGGATTTAGTAAACCATTGTGCCAATTTTCTTACAGCAATGTATCAGCATTGTGCGACTTCAAATGAACTTCTGTGTAAAAAATCGAAATGGCACCGATCTTCTCAGTGTTAAAAATGCTTTGATAATATCAAAAATGTTGTCATTAAATATGCCACTAACATGTTTTAACCGCAACGTTGAATAAATAATTGCCTCCAATTCATTGAACTATGTACGCGGAGCTTTTATTTCACACGTTTTCCTAGATGGTTCTCGAAAGTCTATCGCACATGCATCCAGAACATTACCCCATTTCAAACAAATAACAGTCAAATAGAAAAAGAAGCACTGGCAACTATCTTTGGAGTTAAAAATTTTCATAAGATGATCTATGGACGACATTTCACTCTCTTAATCAAACATTAACCCCCCCTATCAATTTTTTGTTCGTCATAATGTCGATGACTAGTTTCGGACAGTCTGATGTACAATCAAGATTATTCAACTCAAACCAAACATCTGATGAGAATCGCATCCATATGGCACTATCATACACAGCAGAAGTAAAACGAGTTATGTCGGATGCAAGTGATGCCTTGCCAGTAACTGCAAACACAGTCCAGAACTCTGCGCTATCAGATTATGAATTTCAGCAGGTCGCGAAGTATTTGAATGGCGGTTGGCGAAACAAAGTAAACAGTGATTTGATAGTGTTTCCGTCGAAGTAGCGCGTTGTCTATTACCAGCTTGTGTCAATTGTTTGAGAGACATCTAGTTATTCCAACCACCCTCAGATCCCAAGTGTTGAATCAACTTTACTCAGGTCACCTGAGAGTACAGCGTATGAAGACACTGGCATGCAGCTATGTATATTGGTCATTAAGGATAAGGACATTGAAAATATCGCAGTGAAATGTCCTCAATGTGCTCAAGCTGCAAAACTATCATCAAAAATACGGCCATTACCGTGGCTAAATGCCATGGTTCATTGTTCATGATGATTTAGGCAGGTCAATAAATGATCAATATTTTTTTACTATAATTGACTTATTTACAAAGTGGTCAGAAATTTATTTAATCCTCATACCTCATTGATATCAACAATAATGGTGTTGATTAGGCTTTTCGGGAAGTGTAGTGTTCCGGAACCACTAGTTACGAATAATGGACCTCAGTTCACATTGTAGATATTCTCAAACTTCCGGTGTAAGAACGAAATTGTACATCAAGCTGAGCGTTTTATCAATACTTTAAAATGAGCTCTGACCAAGTCACAAGAGGAGAGCACAATGGAAAAGGTCATTCGGAATATCCTGAGACCATACAGAATAACTACGAATCCAGCCTCATCCAACAGTGTCTCCCTTGATTAGTCGATTTTCCTAAGGGAGATTCGCACTCCATTCAACAGCGTGTATCCGTGAGTGTAAGACGAGAATGTAAACCCAAAACGAAGAGAATTGATCGTCAGTTTCCCAATAAGTTACCAGTGTACGTAAGAAACGCTCAAAATTGGGGATGTACATGAGTAGCGGTTGTCATCGTGAGGAAAGTCGGTGACGTGACAAACGAAATTGATGTTTGAGGTAAACGTCTGACGCGACATGTAAATCCCATCCGTGAAAGACCATCAAATTCAGATAAAGAAACTTCTAACTCGAACTTGCAACTAGATTATTTTATTGATGCAGTCAGTTTACAGTATCAGGTTTGGCCACAACCTAAGAAGATAATCAAGTGAACGACGTTTCGCTCAGCGCCTTCAATTAAATCCAAGAAGCAAGATTTATTTTCAGGAGGGAAAGATAACATGGTAAATCAATCAGAAGTAGCATAACGAGAAGGTCAATAAATGACAATAAGAACTAACCTGATGGACAAATGCATTTTATTGTCTAAGAAATGCTTTAATTTCTTAATGGGTAGATATTCACACACAAATGAATATTTGCTTGTTTTATTCGGTAGGCTAATATACTTTCTCCCTCTCTCGTGTTCTCATCCAAGTAGTCAGTTGTTAGGATGGTCAGTACGTAGCATATCGAGTAACAGTATCAGTTTTTGGACACCGACCATCACAACCGTGCCCCTTGGCTTCTAACAATTTAGTCACAGAATATCAACGTGAAACGATATTCGTCTACAAATTAAATTAATCTTCACAGTCCTCTTAACTAAAATATAATCATTGGTGAAACTTTGTAGGTTTACTTTGAAATTGGCAATTATAAGTGATAAACTAACATCTTGTAATTAAACCATCCTCAACGCTATCAACAATCTCATCATTATTTAATGCATATAACAACATTCTACTGATAAATGCGTTAAAGAAAAATATAGTTAATCATTAAAACAATTTCTATTATATTCTTAGTAATCAAGATTGTTTAGTTATACAATTTTTGTTTTCTATTTGGTTATCTAAAGTATTTTCTTCAAAAGTAACTCCATAAAATGAGAAAAGTAATGGTTTATCTGTTTAGTGTTTTAATCATCCATACCTGAAAATGCAATACAATTTATGTAATTATTAGGAATATGATAAAGGTAAATAATCATTTAAATAAAGTAATACACTGAAGCATTTAAGTAAGTAAGATATATGTAAGTAGATGTGTGAGAAACGCTTTTCCATGGTTAAGATCATGAGTCAATTGAAGCTGGACCACCATGGAAAACCTGGAAACACTGGACGGCCGTTTCATCCTAGTATGGGACTACTCAGCAGTGTGTATCCACGATCCCGCCGTTTCGCGAGATTCGGGCCCAGGACCTATCAGTCTCACGCGCGAGCGCTTAACCGATAGACCACTGAGCCGGCATCCAACAGTGTTAACGTTTAACTTCAACCAGTCAACGATTTGAATATATTGATGCATTACAGCCTATAAATGATGAATAGTCGATTGATAACAAAATCATACTTTGTTATTTATGGTTTTGAACTTAACCTGATGATTTTTGATAGCGTTAATGGATATGTTTAAAAATAAATGTTAACACGGTCGGTTGTGATATATACAGTTAAAACTATCCTGCTTTAATCTAGCGGAAATAAGAAAACATGAATGAGACTGTATTTTTTTTACTCATTTTGTTTAATCTTAGCTGACATTTAATTATACTTTCCGACCATTGCTGATTTTTCATCTTTACGAAATAATGTTCCAAATGTTTAACTGTTTTAGAGTTATGTCATCTTTAAAAAAGCATCATCAATCTATATCAAAGATGTATAGAAAAAATAAAAAGTGAAGGGTAATTTTGTTCAAGCATGGGGAAAGTTAGCAGTGAACGGTTGCCACCGATGCTCAATATTGCCTGGGAAATTTGGATCTCACAACTAGCAAGTTATCCCCATGACAATAAATAGGTATCAAGTTACTAAATACCGTGAATTCGGGATCCGTTTAAAGTAACTCACTAAATTACTATATCTTAATTTTTATCAAAATAAAATGGCAGCAAAGTATGCCATTAGAAAGTTTTAGACTAAATACAGTTGAAAATGTTGAAATACTCAAGAATTGTAGTGATAAACGGTAACGTAACATGTGAATAAAACAACCAATGGTTAACTTAGCCAAAGAATGTAACAATTGTTAGATTTTATAAATAATATTAAATATATCTACATATATTGTGTGGTAAATCATAAAAAGTAACATTTGTTTGACTTTTAGGTCTTTTTTCAGTTGATAAGCTTCATCAATGCGTAAAAGCAGATAACCATCATCTTATCTCATTCTCCAGACTGAATTGGACTTATCAAGTTAAAGAGTTTGTAATTAAGTAAAGCAGCAGATTTATGGATTATTATATTAAGATCATGAATCGATGAATATTAGGCCACTATTGAAAATCTGAAAGCACTGGACGGTCATTTTGTCCTAGTATGGGACTCGTCCACACTCTGGATCCCAACCCAGAATCTTTCGTCTCGCACGTGGCCGCTTGACCTCTAGACCACTGAGCTAACATCCAACGGTGTTAATGTCTTACTTATCATTGTAAGATAATTTTCTGATTATATGTTCGCTAAATGAATAATTTAGGCTTGATACTTAGATAGATTTTCTGAATAAAATCATTGACATATATAAGAATTCAGATCTTTCAACACAGACTTGTTATAAAAAAAACATTCCAAAAATTGTGAAGACTAGAAGTTTACTATCTGTTACTTTTTCACGACTGGAGAGTATAACCTGAACATAAGAAATGTAGTTTTATAACTTTCTACCATATAGGATCAATAATCTGACATCAGTATTCACAGTAAAACAAACTAAACAAAACACAAAATTTGCTTAGGTCCTATTGTATAATGTGAAAAATCTTGCATATTTCTTCAATACAATCAATAATACTTACCTTATACGCTGACTAAGATTATTCCATTCTCTTAATACTTTCATAAATCTTCGTAAATGTTTAGGTGATAGAAATATTAAACGTTTTAGTAAACGATCAAATTGATGTGGATCTCTTAATTGTTCTTCTGTAATATTTTGTTCTTCTATTGCTTGTCTAAGATCATCATCTTGAATATTGCTTAACCAATGATTTCGTAATAAATTATCTGATTGATAAGCATTAATATTGACAAAATTAATTGAAAATATACACCAGGTTATTAAAAAAGATAATTTCACATTAAAATAATTCGTTATGAACTTGTTCAACCTAAAAAAAAGAGAATATTTATATTATGTGAGATTATTAACCTATAGAAACTGAATTATATTGAGACATTACATATAATAGTATATTTACAGTTGATTGATGTCTAGTAATTCTAAAGCTTACAATTCAATTCGTATACGGGAATAATTATAAAAATATTTTAGTACAAGATGAAAGTGAACTAAGTATAATAAGTGAATACGACAAATGTTTGCAAAAACTGGAAACATTTTACTAACTGATTACTAATTCACTCATTAATACTTAATATGTTATTCGAAGGAACTAGCAATAATCTTATAAAGTTATCTGGACAATAAGGACTTGTAACAAATACTGATTGTGTGTTCTAACTAACGAACATTTCGAAAGAAATCATAATTTAAAAAATTTTGATCTCTATTTAGTAAAACTTTTGAGTGTTTGTAATAAACTATTGCTTTGTGATGAAATAAATAATTATTTTGACTAAAAATTTCTACCAGGAATCCTAGATTAAAAACTTCCTTACGCCTGTTACCCTTCATAGAAGACCATAAGTCATCCACCGGCATTCTTTATCCAACTATATCCTAGGTAATCCTTTCCAGGTCTTTCCACTTGCCATTCATTCTTTTCATGTATGCCTCCGATTCTCTACACAGTGTGTTCTTTAGTCTTCCTCTCCTCCTTTTAACTTCATGACTCCAAGTTAGTGCTTGCCTTGTGAAGCAGTTTGATAATTTCCGCAGTGTATGTCCTATCCACTTCCAAGGTCTTTTGCTGATTTCCTCTTCATCTGGAAGCTGATTTGTTCTTTTCCACAGTAGGTTGTTGCTGATGATAACATCCGACCAACGGACATTGAGTATCTTGTGTAGAAAATTGTTGGTAAATACTTGTACCTACCTTAGTTGTGGTAGTTCTCCGTACAGTACAACTGTGTTGACGTTCATATTGAAGATTGTGAATTTGATATTAATTGGCAGACAGTTGTTCTGAGTTTCATATATTCTTCAATCGTAGGAATGCAACTTTCGCCTTGCCAATTCTCGCTTTTACGCCTGCGTCCGATCCTCCTTGTTCATCAATGAAGCTGACGGAGTCAGAGTCTCCACATCATCCAGAGTTTCTCAATCAAGTGTGGTTGGTTTGATGTTCTCCCTGTTGTATGTGAGGATCTGGCTTTCTCCCCTGTGTATGTCGAGGTCTACTGATTCAAAGGCTGTTGCTACACTGGTTGTCTTGACCTGCATTTGTTGATGTGGATGGGATAGAATTACTAGGTCATCTAAGAGGTCTAAATCTTCTTGTTGATTCCGAGCTGCCCATTGTATTCGGTGCTTCCTTTCAAATATGGAGGTCCTTACAATCCAGTAGACCACCAGAATAAAGAGAAAGGGAAAAAGTAAGTAGCATTGTCCGACTTTGGTCCTCATTTGGAATGCGTCTGTCAGCTGTTCTCCATACATCACATTGCAGTGTAGTCCGTTGTATGATTTCTGGATGATGCTGACGATCTTCTCAGGTACACCAGTGGCGAAGTAAATTCCATAATGTTCTCCTATCCACACTGTCAAATGCTTTCTCATAATTAAGGAAGTTGATGTATAACGACGAGTTCCATTGTATTAATTGTTCAGAAATGGTCAGTAATTTTGCGATTCGATCGGTACACAATCAATCCTTACGGAAACTGGTCTGTTGATCTTGAAGTTAGGCGTCTACTGAATCTCTCATCCGGTTCAATAACACTCTGTTAAAGACTTTTTCTGGTAATTCCTCTGTATTCTCCACATTTTCTCAGATCTCCTTTCTTTGGTTTCTTGATGAGGTATCCTTCTTGCCAATCCTTCGGCACTTGTTTTCTCTCTCCCAAATCTTCCTGAATATAACCTGGAGCATATATTTTCAGTTACTTCTATGTCTGACTCTGGTGCTTCGGCTGGTATATTGTCAGGTCCTACTGCTTTCCCACACTTGATTCTAAGGAGCTGACCTACTTAATAGTTTCCGAAAGTGTTATGTTCAACTTTTCCTCTGTTTTCGAATTTCAGTTAGTGGGTTGCTTTCTTTGTGGTTTCTCTGTGGTTTGCTATATTTCCCTACCAGTTTCTTCGTTATATCACATAGTTGTTTCATATTTCCTTCTCTGGCAGCATTTTTCGTTGTTGTTGACAGGTTTCTACGCATTTCTGCTTGTCAGCTCTAATGTTTTTTAACTCGTTTGCTTGTTCCAGTGAATTCAGCCCGTACCTTAATTTTCTTTGTTCTTGTTCAACTGTTGCTATTTGCTATAGTCTTGTTCTTTCTTTCCTGAGTCATATTTGGGGTTTCGAAAGAGATCCATTTCTTTTGATGCTACTTGAGGCCCAGAACCTTTTGACACGTCAAAGTTAATACTTGTTTCATCCCTTTACAGTTATCCTCCATAGTAGTTTCTTCTTTTAGTAAATCTTGTAAGGCTTGAAAAATGTTGTTGTGATATATCCTGAATTCGTTGAGTTTATCAGAATGTCGAAGGAAGGCTGTATTGAACCTCTGTAATTCTGTTTAGCCAGTTGTCAATTGTACCTCCAGCTTCAGTTTGATCTTGGAAACTACCAGGTGGTGATCTGAAGATATGTCAGTTCCTCTCCTGGTTCCTACGTCTTCCATTACTTACTTACTTACTTACTTACTTACTTACGCCTGTTACTCCCAATGGAGCATAGGCCGCCGACCAGCATTCTCCAACCCACTCTGTCCTGGGCCTTCTTTTCAAGTTCCATCCAATTCTTGTTCATTTTTCTCATATCTATCTCCATTTCTCGGCGTAATGTATTCTTTGGTCTTCCTCTCTTCCTTCGACCTTGAGGGTTCCATATGAGGGCTTGTCTTGTGACGCAGTTCGGTGCTTTCCTCAATGTGTGTCCTATCCACTTCCAACGTCTTCCATTAACCTCCTGAAATTTTTATTGATGCAAATATGATCGTTCTGGTTCTGTGTAGTGTGATCCGGTGAGACTTAGGTAGCTTTGTGTATGCGTTTGCATGGGAATATTGTGCCATCTATAACCATTTTGTTGAACGCACATAAATTTGCAAATCTGTCACCATTCTCGTTCCTTCCTCTCAATCAGTCCACGTCATCCCATGATATCGTCGTACCGGATGTTGTCTATCCCGACCTTGGCGTTTTGATCTCGCATTAGGATGGTCAGGTCCTTTCCTGGGTACTTCTCCAAGATTGATTATAGCCTTTCGTAGAACTAATCTTTATTGTCGTCGTTGCTATCATCGGTGGGTGCATAACGTTAGTTAACCTTCATTGTGATTCCCACCTTCTTTGTTTTGAATGATGCTTTCATGATCCAAGGTCCATGAGATTCCCACCCAATAAGTGTGTTACGTGCTTCTTTGAACAGCATCAGAGAAACTCCGTGAGTGTTTGAAGCATTTTCTTCATTGTGACCACAGTACAGAAGCATCTCTCCGGAATCTATCCTATTCTGTCCAGTTTGGTTCCAATGGGTCAAGTCGTATCTCCTCATTTTCTCAGCTATTTGATTGGTCCTCTCAGTTTCGCGCATTGTCCGAACATTCCATGAACCTATATTAATCGTTTCTTTGGTTGTTAGAAGGACGTCAAGCTCATGATTTTCGAAGAATTTCGGCTTTCACCATGAGGCATCATAATTATTCTCTCAACTCAGAGGAAAGAGTTTAAATGATTCAATTTGTTTATTCTGATTAACATTTTTGTTAGCAAGGTTATTTTCTACTGGATGAAGTTGCTGACCCCATGCCCAGTCATCCTCCTTTGTGTGGGCTTAGGATCGGTAGTAACCATAGGGGAGCTACAGGCGGAGATCATAGACTAAAAATTTAAATCGGTATCCAAACTGAGAAAAGTTTTTTTAATATGTAGTTTTATCAGTTTCAATTACAATTTTAAATTATTCAGGGACTTAGAGGAAAATATTTTAATGACTCAGATTTTGTAAAATATTTTAGTACACCATATCATCAGAAGTACTATTGAAAAGATAGACGACAACCATCCAGTCCTTACTCAACATCTAAATGTCAGCATACATTTAATCCCGATAAAGTTCCACAGCCAGAATATGCAAAACTTACATCGAACATAATTTAAATTTAATAGCTCACATTTTTCAGATTACACCAAATGGTGATGTAGCGTAATCAATATCATCAGTAGGTTAATGTTTCAATTCTAAAATAGTGCAGAAACCAATAGTACTTAATTCTAATTGTTTTCATATTTATTCAAGACTGATCCCGTTATGACAAAACGATATTCAAAATCTAAGTTAAAATCTTTTGATAATAGATATATTTCAAACAAAATGATTCAGTAGACCATATTTACAATGTATGAATGCTATGGAAAGTGTAACTTGTACGTGGTATATTACATTGAATGGCAACCAATCACTTTATGAATTAGTGTATGGCTAATTGATATAATAGATAAACATGGATATGTACCTTCATATAACCATAAAATTGTACATGAACAAGAGACCCATAATTAATCGTTTAAATAAGAACAAAATCACACAGTTTCTTGTTATATTTTTGTCTAGATTTTTGCTTGCTTAGACAATTTTCATCAAAAAGAAAGCCTTCAACTAAAAGCAGCTAAAATCTAGTCAATGAATATTTTTTTATTGAACTTAACGTGATGATATAAGAAGTTTGACTGGATTTTATTTATTTGTTAAACTAACAAGTTACATAAAAGAAACTCAGTAGAAACCAAATGAAGTTCTAAAAAGACTTATTACTTTAGTAAAGCACTTCTTCAAAACATTAATCTACACTGGTAAAATATGAAAAAATTAGCTTGAAGCTTAGAGGATAAGTTGTCGCATGCTGTTCAACGTCCTAGGTTGAGCAGGATTAGCTACATTTTAACTACTAGTTTAAATGACTTGAAGTAGTAGGCAGAGTGCTTTGATGCTTATTAGGAGGCATTGATAAGATATTTCACTGAAAGTATATAGAACTGTGAC